TCTGAGGGGAAAGGAAGAGAGAGAGAGAGAGAGAGAGAGCACTCGAGCCCCCCCCCCCCACCCCGCAACCAACTCGCCCTCACACATGTGCACGCATAAATATATATATATATATATCACTGCCTCGGCAGCCTCGACGTTAGCGTTAATGCGGGGCGCGTAGGGATCCTGGTCATCTCGGCAGCCGCCGAGAGGCCCACTCGAGCTCTCTCTCTCTCACACCCCTCTCGCTCTCCGTCATGCGTCCAGATAAAAGAAAAGAAAAATGGCCATAACCGTTTCCACCCCTCGTCCCGCACCATTTTACCTCGCCCCTCTGCTCTCCTCTCGGCGGCCACGGAGCGCAGCACAAGGCGCCGCTTTCGTTCTTTTTTTTGTCTTTGGCGTGAGTGTGTGTGTGTGTGTGTGTTTCTGGCTGCTCAGCTCCCTCGCTGCCGTCGCCGGCTGTCATCCCCTCCGCGCGGCAACTTTTTACGTCTACTCAAACTGCGCGTGTGTTACGTCACGGCAGCCGTCCCGCCTCCCACCGCCGCCGCGCAGAACACATCGAAAGGAGCGCCTTGAAGACCATCCGCCAACAAGACACACACGTCCACCAACGAAAAAAAAAAGGAAAAACAACAATAAAAAGATTAAAAAAAAAATCAATTTACGTTTAAGTGGCATCTGCATGCTCGGCTTGTGCCACGTGTCCTCTCCCTTGACTGCGTTGCGGCTCCCCCGCCACCCCGCCACCGCTCTATCGACCATCGCGCCCGTCGCAATGACGGGTTCCCCGCCTCCTGGTGCCTCAGCCACCCATTCGTACGCAAAGGTCCCACACATACATGGGCATGGCTGCAGGAAACTAGTCCGCATCCATCTTAATCACGCACAGCAAAACGCTGAAAACGAATCGCCCCACGTGGTCCCACCGCAACAATGGAAAACAAAAAGAAGCAAACAAAGAATAGAACGCAAAAAAAAGGGGAAAAAGGAAAAAAAGGTTTGCCGGGATTTCACTCGAGAGCAACCATTGGAACGGAAGAAAGGGAGAGAGACGGAGAAAAAAGAGCGAGAGTAGCGTTGAACCGCCATCGGCACCGATAACGCAGCGTGCAGGGCAACACACACGCACCCACCCACACTGCGCACATGCCGCAGAAGAGAACGCGGAAAAGTGAGTCAATGACAACGCTGGCGCAGGGTGCAGTTCGAAGTAGTGTGGCTGCATGTACTAGGGAAGAGCAAAAAAAGGCCAAACAAAAAAAAACACACACACACACAAAAAACGTGGGGAGGGGAGGGGCACGTTATCCGACAAGAGAAATTTGAAAGAACAGATACGCTCACACGCAGTTCGAGAGATAACAGAAGGTTTGTTGTTGTCTTTTCCGGCCACAGCGCAAGGCCGACCCACGCTCTACAACCCCATCCATTAAAAGAGGAAAAGCACACAAGTATGTAATTGGTGGGATGGAGAGAGACAAAAGAAAACAAAAAAAAACGCAAATAGAAAAAGAGAGAAAAGAGAAATGCAGAACACAAACAAAGAGGACGGCAAGGGCAAATAATAATAAGACACCAACCCCCCCAGATAAATACGTACATAGATATACTTATATATATATATCCGCACATATTTATAGCACTTCTCTTTGGCACATCGCCACAACTGTCTCCCCACCTCCCCCACCATACGCATAGTCCTCCCCCCACTCTCCCTTCTTCTTGCCCCATGGCGACCAACACTTCCATTTCTTTGTTTGGTTATTGTTTTTTTGGTCTTTGTTGTCGTCTGTCTTTTTCTTTTTTTTTGTCTCACGCATGCCATTCTCTATCCTTTTCTTTTTTTCTTTTTATATTGCATCGCTTTTTTTTTTGACGTTGTTCTTCTTGGGAGAAGGGAGAAGCCTCTAGTTTTTTTTTTATTTGTTTCCCTTGGGCTCAGTTTCGTTTTCCCCGGCCGCACCTCAAAGGGCCGTTTCATTCATCGTGCGAAGGATATATATATATATATTTTTTTTTACTTCGCTTCATTGCGACTGCGCACCCCCCGTCTCTCAGCCTACACACACACACAAACACACACACATATATATATATG